AATTATTTTTCATATATATTATTTTTAATATATATTTTAATAATTATATATATATTAATTATATGTAATTAATATATAATAATTTTTCGTATATTATAATTATATATATTTCTAATGCTTTTAAATATATAATTATATTTTCAATATATCTTGAATATATATTTTTAAATATATAATTATATTTCATAATTATTTATAATTATAAATATATATTATAAATATATAATTAAAAAAAATTATAATATATATTATCATATTTCGTATATTATTATAAATATATAATTATATATAATATATATTAAAAAAAAATAATCACGCCGGCCAGCCGGCCCGCCAGACCGGCCGGTTCAGGTCTGGCCGGTTAACAAAACCGGCCGAAAATGGACCGGTCGGCCAGAGTCAAAATACATTGACCAAGGGCCGGCCGGCAACATTGGCCGGCTAGACCTGAGCCGGCCAGCATAAGCGGCCGGCCAGGGGTGAACCGGCCGGTCCGGCCGGCCGGCCGCCGAGAAAAAAAAAAAATTACCTTACTCGCCGCCATCGTCGTCGCCGGAGTAGGTCGGAATTTTTTTCGAAATTTTTCGAAATCCGGAACCGGGAGAAAAAATATGTAAAGTGAATAATGAATGTATTTTTTTTTTTATTAGAAAGGGCAAAAACGACTTTTAGGGGGCGGTAATAATCGAAAAGGGGCGGCAAAAATCAAAACACCCTTTTTTTTCCCGCCGAACCTGCGAAGTGTCACGCCTTGAAAGAGACAGACTCATCATAATAATTAATCATATCCAAAGCTGCCAATAAAAAACAACTCAAAATACGAAATTAAAACAAGAATCAATCTCTATCACTACAAAGTAAGAAAAAAAAAAAGAAGACAATTTAATAAAGGAAAGCATATATTATTGATCATTATGAAATATTGTGGTGCTATGCTAGCCGCTAGGTTATTCCATTCTATATGAAATAGAAACCAAATGTTCTTTTACAAACTATTAACACAATTAGCTGGTCAAACTGATCAAATCAACTATTGTAATCTGCTAACAGTTATAAGCTAACCACCGATTATCAAACAATGCCATAGTTGGTCATTCCTAATTTTAGTAAGTTAGTAACCGAAGTTTTGTATTTCAACTTACAAGTACCGCCTTTTAAGGCATTATTTTGTAAAAATGTAGAGCTTTCTTTTGTTCTCTCTCCTCTCGACCCTTTTTCTCTGAATAGAAAAACTTAAACCAGCAGTGTCTCGGTGCGCCTCTCCTCCACAGGGGTCCTCCTCCCTCCGACGGAAGCGATGCTGGGATCGGAGCCAATGTTGGTTCTTTGATGTTTGGTGGGTCTTCATTCATCCCTCGCATGGATTCTTCGTCCACGGCTGACAATGGCAGGGAGAGTGGTGTCGACTTGCTGGGGACTTAGTGGTAGCGGGCGACGGTGATCGTCTGGCGCTGGTCGGCACTTGAGGTCCGCTCCTCTGCCTCCCCGACCCCTGCTCGACCGTAGTGTTGGGTTAACAAAGTCTGACGATGGGTGCGAATTTCGGTGGTATGTGATCGCCGACCAGACCAGGGGAGAGTGGTTTTACTGGTGTCGATCCTTTGGTGTCCTCCTAGAAGGGGTTTCGTGTTTGGTCTGGTTCTAGTCAGGCGGTAGAAGAGTTTGTAAATCCGTGTTTTAGGTCTGGATTTAATCCCTCTCGAGGGTTGCTTTGGGTGTTGGCTAGCTCGAGGTTTCTAGGAGTAACTTGCTCACTGGTGGAAGGACTTTACTCTAACTATTAGGTTTCTTTTATGTTTGTGTGTTGTGTTTTGTTTTGTTTATTTTCTCTCTCTTTGGGATTGCGTTGTTCATAGTGTCCATTTGTGAAAGTTTTGTAGTCTTTTGGTATGAGCTTTTAGGTTGGTTCTAGGCCGTCATTGGCGTAGTCTCCCAACTAGATTCGACTGGGTAGCTGTTGATTCGACTGTTTAACTGTAATCAAGTCTGTAAATTGTGTTTATTTATAAAGCCTATCGTTCTAAAAAAAAAAGGCATACTTTTGTAGACTTAATATTTCCTCACATAACATTATAAACCTAGTGTATTTTTTAACATTATGGGATTAAACTATCATAGAATAAAAATCACAAATTTATGTGTTAATCCATACTTATATGATGAAATGTCGTACTTTTATTTATATTGTTTTTCAGAACATGATATTTAGTTTTGAAGTATACACATTTGTTGTATTACTATGACTCTCTACTTACTCAGATCTTCTATAAAACCAGATGGTTGTTTCCCTTATGGAACCAACCATCTGGTTTCTTAGCAAAGTTGCTCTACTTACTAGTCCCGCCTAACATTAGCATTAAAAAAGATGACTCGAAGTTCTCATAATTCTCAATTAAACGTAACATTAAAGATGCACTAAGACATTTAAATTTCATAAACCCTACTTTTTCTCTATCATTTGTGATCCATAAACTAATTCGCATCTATCACACTACATTGAGTAGTGTAATATTGAAATGATTAAAAAAATATGAAATATTTAAAGCATACATTAAAAGTAACTCTTATTAGTTCTGGCCCTACTTTGTCTGAGGATACCACAGAACCCCATAGCCATCACAATGTCCACCACAATTTGGACAAAAAATTAAAAATAAAAAAATGACTATGTCCACAATTGCACCATCAAAGTGAAATGATTTTCTCAAATCTATATGACCTCCATTTGTTTCTTCATTTATGCATAGTTTTTGCAAAAATTCAATCATGCCCCCAAGTAACAAAAATTGATGTTTGAACTCACACAGGCACACACACACACTCACATTGAATAAGGAAGTATAAAATTATATGTAAATAAATAATAATATATAAGTACAACAACAACAACATACCCAATATATTCCCAACTGGTTGGGATCTGGGAGGTCAGTTGTACGTAGACCTTACCCTTGTAATTATACAAAGAGGTTGTTTCTGTAGCGACCCAAAGTGCATTGCGTCGTTTGATATATTTTTTTTTTAGAAACTTCACTAATAGAAGAAACACTAGAATTTAATTGAGTCATTTGATCTAACCCATTATTAGCACTATGCCAAGAGAATTGTCAACAATGACTCCTCCAGGAGAATTGTAACTTTTCTGACACCTCTACCTTCAAATTCCGAAGGTCTAAAGGATCGTTAGGCCACGCTTTCACGGTCCGTATTCGTACTGGAAATCAGAATCAAACGAGCTTTTACTCTGTTCCACACGAGATTTATGTTCTCGTTGAGCTCATCTTAGGACACTTGCGTTATTTTTTAACAGATGTGCCGCCCAGCCAAACTCTCCACCTGACAATGTCTTCCGCCCGGATCGGCCCGCTGAGGCGAGCCTTGGGTCCAAAAAGAGGGGCGTTGCCCCGCCTCCGATTCACGGAATAAGTAAAATAACGTTAAAAGTAGTGGTATTTCACTTTCGCTTTTCGACTCTCACTTATCCTACACCTCTCAAGTCATTTCACAAAGTCGGACTAGAGTCAAGCTCAACAGAGTCTTCTTTCCCCGTTGATTCTGCCAAGCCCGTTCCCTTGGCTGTGGTTTTGCTGGATAGTAGACAGGGACAGTGGGAATATCAAGAAAATCCAATAATACCTCTCTCTCTCTCTCTCTCTCTCTCTCTCTCTCTCTCTCTCTCTCTCTCTCTCTCTCTCTCTCTCTCTCTCCACATAGTACTATAGGAGAAACAAACCTGACCCTGAAACCAGATATACCTAAAACACTGGACCCTTAGTCTTAAGTCATCCACATTTACTTCTTTATTCCAAGAAAAAATATATATATATATATATAATAATTAAAGGAAATCCTTTCTTCCTATATTTCCTCTGCATTAATCCTCTGCAAATCCTAAGAGCTCTTAGTGATAATATACTTCTAGCAACAACCCAAGTCTGCCTTTTCAATTGCTAAATGCTCTTGATTTTGATCAAAATTTTTGAAAAAACAAAGTGAAGAAAGAAAAAAAAAAAAAAAAAGAAGAAAAATGACCTCTTTGAGCTTATTCTGCATTTTGCTTTTATGGCTGCTCTCAAGATCCCAACTTGTGATCACCCAAATACTAGACAATGATCAGGGGCTCATTTTACTTCAAATTGGTACAGAGTTTAAAGTTTCTAAATGGAGTGCTATTAAGAACACTTCAGATTATTGCTCTCTGCCTGGCATTTCTTGCAACAACAGCTCCTTGGTGGAGGTTCTTGATCTCTCTAGGCAAGGGCTCAGAGGCAACTTGACCCTGTTTTCACAGCTCAAGTCCCTCAAATCCCTCGATCTCTCCTTCAACAGTTTCCATGGCTTAATCCCACCGTCTCTCTCCGAGTTAGCCGAGCTCGAGTATCTTGATTTGTCGTTCAACAGCTTCGATGGCCCTATCCCTTTCGAATTCTCGAGGCTCGAAAATCTCAGAGCTTTGAACCTTTCCAGCAATTTCCTCACTGGCGATATACCCCAAAGGCTTGAGAGCTTAACAAAGCTGCAAGATTTGCAGCTGTACACAAACAGGTTGAATGGCACAATCCCTTCATGGATTGGTAGCTTGACCAACTTAAGGATTTTCACTGCCTATGAAAATGAGTTGACTGGTTCCATCCCGGACGAGTTGGGCTCGTTCAGTGAACTTCAGTTGTTGAACCTTCACTCGAATGAGCTGGAAGGCTCGATACCCGAGAGCATTTTCGCGATGCGAAAACTCGAGACTTTGGTCCTGACCCAAAACAGATTGAGTGGGTACATTCCTAAATCGATCGGCAAGTGCAAGACTTTGTCGAGCATACGGATAGGTAACAACAATCTGAGTGGGCTCATACCTAAAGAGGTAGGGGACATTACGAGCCTCACTTATTTTGAGGCGAATGATAACGGGCTGTATGGGGAAATCGTGCACGAGTTTTCCAAATGTGCGAACCTCACACTCCTTAATTTGGCCTCAAACCGGTTAAACGGAAGTGTGCCGTTGGAGTTTGGCTTATTGAGTAACCTGCAGGAGTTGATTGTTTCGGATAATGACCTGTTTGGAGAGATGCCTTTGTCCATTCTTAGAGGGAAAAATCTGAGTAAGTTGGATTTAAGCAATAACAGATTTAACGGCACTATACCGGCTAGCATCTGTAACACGTCCCCCCGGCTGCAGTTCTTGCTTTTAGCCAACAACTTGTTGGAAGGCGAAATCCCGCACGAGATTGGTAACTGTACGAAACTGCTGGAGTTGCAACTGGGGAATAATCATCTGAATGGAAGCATCCCGCCCGAGATCGGCCGTATAAAGAACTTGCAGATTGCTTTGAACTTGAGCTCCAACCGCCTTCACGGGCAGCTGCCGGAGGAGCTGGGCAGGCTCGACAAGCTCGTTGCTTTGGACGTGTCGGGCAATCTGCTGACCGGGAATATCCCGAGTTCTCTCCGGGGGATGCTGAGCTTGATCGAGGTGAATTTTTCGAACAATTGGTTCACTGGGCCCATACCTTCGTTCATACCATTTCAGAAAAGCCCGAATTCGAGTTTTATCGGGAATAAAGGTCTGTGTGGCGAGCCGTTGACTGTTTCTTGTGGAAATTTTGACAGCCCCGAAAGTTATTCGTACCATCACAAAGTCTCGTACAGGGTTGTGTTAGCCGTGATCGGTTCAGGCCTAGCCGTGTTTGCTTCGGTTACTGTAGTTGTTTTGCTGTTCATGATGAGAGAGAAACAGGAGAAAGCTGCCAAGGAGGCAAAGATAGCCGAAGAGGAAAGTAATGACAACCCGGAAGTAGTGGCGGGCAATGTGTTTGTCGAGAGCCTCAAGCAAGCGGTTGATTTTGAGGCTGTTGCGAAAGCTACCATGAAGGAGTCGAGTAAGTTGAGTGTCGGGACTTTTAGCGTCGTTTATAAGGCGGATATGCCGTCCGGGTTAACTTTGTCGGTCAGAAAGTTGAAATCGATGGATAAGACCATACTTAACCACCAAAACAAGATGATTAGAGAGGTTGAGAAGCTTAGTAGGCTCTGTCATGATAACTTGATGAGACCGATCGGTTTTGTTCTGTTCGAGGATGCTGTCCTCTTGTTGCACCAATATTATCCAAAAGGGACCTTGGCCAATTTTCTTCATGAATCGGTCGAGAAGCCCAATTACATGCTCGACTGGCCTGCGAGGCTTGCGATTGCTATTGGGGTGGCCGAGGGACTGGCTTTTCTCCACAATGTGGCCATTATTCATCTCGATATCTCGTCGGGCAATGTGGTTTTGGACTCGAGTTCTAATCCTGTGTTGGGTGAGGTCGAGATCTCAAAGCTTCTCGACCCGTCTAGAGGAACCGCGAGCATAAGCGCGGTAGCTGGTTCGTTCGGATATATCCCTCCAGGTTGATATTCTAGACAACCCTCATCTTTCAAAATAATTATAATCAAACTGAACCAAAGGCATTTTTTTATGAGCAACCCCCAAAAGAAGTGTTGTTGGCTTTTTTATGTTTTAATGTTCATATTGGTTTCTTTGATTTTACAGAATACGCGTATACTATGCAAGTGACAGCACCGGGTAATGTGTACAGCTATGGTGTAGTTTTGCTTGAGATCCTCACGACTCGGCTGCCGGTTGACGAGGCTTTTGGGGAAGGGATTGATCTGGTGAAGTGGGTCCACGGTGCACCTACCCGAGGGGAGACCCCAGAGCAGATTCTTGATGCAAGGCTGAGCACGGTGTCGTATGGCTGGAGAAAACAGATGCTTGCTGCCCTCAAAGTGGCATTACTCTGCACAGATAGCACGCCAGCCAAACGGCCCAGGATGAAAAATGTAGTCGAGATGCTTAAGGAGATTGCGCAGAATTAGGCCGAAAGGGGTTCGAAACATATTTTTTCACATCACATGGTTCGATTTTTTGAAAAAAAAATACTTGGATTTGCCCAACTTGTGTTCTCCAATTTGAATCAAGAAAAACCAAAAGAACAATTTTGATGTTTTGGGGTTTATATTTATTTGAAACGATAATCTAGAGTTGCCTTTCGGATGTATAGAGACCAAAATGATCAACCAATGCAAGTTTTAGTGAACACTGCAATATTATTCTGAAAGAGGTAAGTTTGATGAAAGGTAAAGATAAAATGTCAAAAACAAATACTGCTTTATTTAAAAAGAAAAAAGAGTAAGGAAAAAAATAAATGTTGATATACATTTACAAGCGCAGTGGCTACAGATGAACCAACTTGGGACAATAGAACACAGAGACCTTTTTCCAGAAAATTTAAAGGAATATCCAATATTTTGCTAAGGCCGACACGCTCCGAAATTCTCATGCAGATTTAAAAATCGAACATTTAGATAACTGCACACAAAAAAACCAACAAAAAGAAATAGAGAATCCCACAAACACATCATAAGTAAAAACAATTTCAAGGAAGCAATAGGATTAACTGATCAAATCATAACCATCCTTCCAATTCGAAGAGACAAATAACTCGACAAGTACGCCAAGCTTAAAAAATTATTACTAGCTGTTTCTTGCAAGTCTATTTCTTGAGATGATTGCCAAACAAAAATAACATGATTTCGGCAGAAAAAAAATTACTCTGCACGGCCCAAAAATGTTTATCAATGATAAAAGTGAAGAGTGGGGTTTATATCATGGGAACAAATGAGACACGGACCAATAATTAGACGACTTTATTGGTCAAGGCCGGACTTGACAATGAAATTTTGGCGGCTGATGGGGTTCATGACCACAGGAGGACCAGCCGTGCGGGGCCATGCCTGGAACTTCTTGTCGGTCTCGAGCAACCATTCTTTACTCGAGACAGTTGAAGGAGTAGAACCTACAATCGAGATGCAATGTTAATATATTAAAAAAAAAAGGTATAATCATTAAATTAAAGATATGTAAGAATTAGGAAAAAAAACCTCCAAAGATCTTGCGGTCAGAAACCAAATTGTCACTAACAAAGGCGATAGCAACAGATCCAAGTAAAGCAGAAACAATGTATTTAGCCCTCATTTCTTTTTCCCTTTTCTTTAACTGCAAAAACAGAAAGATAAAAATTATATATCCATGATCATCATCTCATGAACAAGCGTCAATGATTTGGAACATAACATAACAGCATGATGATAGGATGGCACAGAACAACAGTACTGACGTCTAAAATAGTCAACCCAATATTCCACCAAGTGAACCATGGGTTCCAAGCCAGATCAACATATGTACTGTATGTAGAGTGATGACCTATTTCAATGTAACCATTATCTCGAGAAAACAAAATTACGCAACTTTTATTAATTATGACGAAAGAAAACTCTTCTTGCCTACCAAAAAAATCAGCTATACCAATTAGAAAAGAACAGAATCTAAAACTTTTAAGATTCAGTGACATCGTTGTTTTAGGAGCTACCAAAATAGGCGCGTGTAGCATATCGAATCAATAATGATTTTCAACACAACCACCCAATTTCAGAATCAACCAACCCATTAATCTTCAACAATGCTTCTCAATACAACAATTCGATTTCAAAATCAACCGACCCACTAATCTTCAACAATCAACAATGGTCCTCAACAACCATCCAATTTCTGAACCAACCAACCCACTAATCTTGAACAATGATTCTCAATACAAGCACCCAATTTCAAAATTAACCAACCCACTAAACTTCAACAACGATTCTCAATACAACAATCCAACTTCATACCCAACAAACCCATTATTAGTCTTCAATAACAATTCTCAATACAACTATCCAATTTCATAATCAGTCGACTCATTAATCTTCAACAATGATTCTCGACACAACCCATTCAATTTCACAATCAACCAACCCATCAATCTCCAAGAACCATAAACCACAAAAAAACCCCAAGAATACCTACTTGCACACACACACACACACACACACGCAAAATCAAACTCAACCAAAATACCAATAAACTCTCGAGAACCTATAAAAATAAGCAAGCCCATTTTCACCACTAATCCAAAACCCTAAACAGGCAGCTGGATCGGCCATCTTCCTTACCATCCCCTGACTTCATAAATCAACCACGCACAGAATGCGGCTAAATACACACACACACACACCCAGAAACGAAGCTAAGATAAACGTGAATCGAAACCCAAAAACGAAACCACACAGAGACATGAAATCAAAACCTAGAAATCAAATTTCGCGAGCAAAATGACATCACAAACATTTTCATACGCATGGAAACATTGAAATCGGGACCTTATTGGCTAATTCAGTTAACATCAAACGAATAGTATAAATTTACCGCAAAGAAAAAAATCAGAAATTACCTGGGCGAGAGAAGTTTGTATGGCGATGGGTCTTTCTGGAGAAAACAGAAATGAAAGAAAATGAGATTATTTTGTGGCTGGAGATGAGGAGAGACGAATGAAATCGTCAAAGTCTAACAAACACCTTACGACGTCGTTACTTGTTCTACTATTTTTATTTTCCTCCCTTTAAAATTAGAGAAACACTTCAATTTTTAATGTTATGATCCAAAAGAGGAATTTTTATTTTTTTTTATTTTTTTTTTTATTTTTTTTTACAAATGTACATACGTTATAAAATAGTATGAAGACATGATGAAGCTTTGATGATACTTAGATGATCGTATGCACAATTCGGCTCTATTTTTATTGCATTTCTTATTTTTCTCTTTTAACTAAAATCGTGCTTGCGCCTTGTGTTTAGACTATGCGCCTTAGTAAATAAGAACAATGTCATTTTGCTTTGAGGGATTTTTTTTTCTATTAAAAACACTCAGCGCGTGGTGAGGATTAAGACTGAATTTTCAACTTGTATATAGTCACGACTCTAAATGGGTCAAAAAAAAGTCTAGGTCTACATCAGTCCAATAAAAATCGAAAAAATAAAAGAAAAGAAAAGAGACAAAAAGAAAAAGACAACAGTCAAAAGTTACCACTTCATCAGCGAGTCTCGAAAATGGTCCAATTTTTCCTCATTCCTCGTGTTACGCCTAATTCGTTGTTATTTTTTTTCGGAAGAGTTGGCGAAAGTCTGGGAACGGAGGGGGAGGGGAGAGAAGTGATTGGTGTTTTACGCGAGTTTGTGGCGACAGAGAAGTCAATCTTCAAATTCAGAAAAATGGGAGAGAGTGATCCAGGGAGTCCGTTTCAGAACCAGAAGAGCAAGACTCAACAATCACTGAGTTGGACTTAGGTGAACCTGGCTCCAAAGAGTCAGGTACATTGCCTGGTCCCACTTCAAGGAAAGAAGAAGGCAGGGATTTGGGCTGTGGAAGGAACCAACCCTAATAAAGGAGGGGTTGGGTGGAGCCTTGCCAAGAGGATGTGCCAAGTTCGAGAGAGTCGAGTCCGAGGCAATAGAGGAGGGATTGGTGGGCTAACGGGTGTGGAGGTCGGAAGAGCAGAAGAAGGGGGAGAAATATGGGGAGATGGTTCAATGTGAGGGTTTTTTCCTTGTTAATTTTGGTGGGGTGGAGGGTTGGATTTTGTATGTAACAAGTTGAGTTCGACGCATTTGTTTCCGCAAGAGACAACTATACTAGTTGGGTGGGGGGATTCAAGATTGTGGGCTACGCAAAAGCGAGCATGTTGGAACCGAGTTTTGTTTAGTGTGGCATCATTGACTTTTAAAAGGGTGCCAAAGATGTTGACGATTGTTCGAAGAGCCTTTAAGTCAAAACAATGAAGGGGGAGAGCTGGGATTTTTATCCTAACCGGGACAATAGGTGGATCTTTACTTAAATCAAAATCAGTGGACCATTTGAATAGAGATTTCGTGTTTTGACCAAATCTTGGTGGACGTGTTTGGGTCGTCGACTTTGATTAAGATGTGATTGGCTTGAAGGGAAAATTTTTTGCATCTGGTGAAACCTAAGAGAGCGAGGTTCGGGCGAATAGCCTCGTTGGAGGGCTTGCCGAAAGAGAATTTGCCTATGAGGGCATATTTGAGGGTTTTAGATACTTTCAAGGGGAAAAAAGAACTTTCGGGATGTTGTCGGATAGAGAAAGAGAGGCGAAGAAGAGGGGCTCAGGAGGGGCAGTTTTTTAGGCTGCCGAGAGGTAGGATTTTGCCTGTCCAAGGCCGTCGATTTGGTTTTGGGTTGTCGGTCCAAGGGCTGAATGGAAAGTTTGGGCCATATTCTGGCCGTTTTGGGGGGGACTGGGCTGGGTATAAACCAGGCTGGGTAGAATTCGGGCCGAGCTGGATGGTTGGGGTTGGGATCAGGTTGGACATAGTGGAGGCTGAGGTGAGAGGGGTTGAAGAGTGAGTGGGCTGCAGAGTGTTGGTTTTTAATCTAATGGGCTGAGGTAAAGAGTGGAAAGGTTGGGTTTTGGTTTGGGCTGGTTGGGATGGGCTTGGGGTATAAAAGGGCTAAACAGAATTGGACCCAAAAAATAGAGGGAAATTGGGATTTGAAGAAGTGGGCCCAGAGGGATAAAATAAAAAGGTACTTACCGGCCCAAGCAAGGAAGCCCAAGAAGATGGTGTCTACGGGACTAGGGCAAGCTGTGTGTTGAGCGTCGTCGCCATCTAACTAAACCCGGCGACGTTGACTGATGGAAGTCCGACGACATCTGGCTGGGATTTTTCAGTTTCCTGGGGAACATGGAGAGCTATGTGGAACTCTTTCAACGAGGCACCAGTGAGCGGGGAAAATTCGACAGAGATGGCGCTCAAATACATGGTAGCGATTGGAGCAATGACGAGAGGTTCCTTCGAGGCTTCAGAGTTTGAATCAGTGTTGAAGGAGACGCCGCTAGACGACGGTGGTTGGCTGACTATTTGGGGAACTCCGGGAGGCACAATATGCAATGAGTTCACAAAACAAGTTTTTTAACAAACACCTAGTGGGCAACCTTTGAGTTTATGTTGGAATTCAGTGTCTCGACCGCTCTTCTCTAACACTTGGATCTACCAGTTGTAGCTCATACTTCAGTTATTGTAGTTGTGGTTTGTTGGGTTGCATATGAAGAGATTTTTGCAAAGCACTTTGTTCATATGCAGTTGAACAAAAGAGTGGAAATCCTTTTTGTACAATTTACCGTTATCCCCAAGTTTTTCCGCTCTATGTCTGCGTTAATTAGCTTTGAGCATTTGATATGTGAGTTACCCTTCTAAAAGAAGAGAATATTTGTTGTTGTGTAAGGTTTGTGGGAACATGTTGTTGTTTGTATGCCTCTCAGTGTTAGATCAAATGCATGAGGTGAAATACGCTATTGAATATGGTGTTGCTTTGAGGGACTTTTGAATTAGAAACGCACGAGCTATATAATGAACTCGTGTAATGCATGCTTTGGTGGTTAATAACAGAAAATCAGATATTTTCTAATTTCCTTTCTTGTTATCGGATCCATCTTCTTTTTCACCATATAAATCAAAATAGACATTTATTATAAGTATATGATGAGTCAACTCAAGGAACATGTATGCATAGAATTTATGTTTTTCCCTTGTTTAGCATCACTACAGCTTAATTTGAATAATGACAATACGGTTTTGCTATAAAGCCAACAGTTGGCTCCATAGTGGAGCCAACTTTTTATATATGACAAGTAGACCTACCGTATTTCCTGACTACTTAAATAACATTAATAATTTTATAAATATAGTATGGTTTACTTGTTATATATAGAGGTTGGCTCCACTATGAAGCCAATTGTTGGCAACTTATTGTCTAAAAGCTGTGGCGAAGGTTTGGCCGCACGTTAGGAAGGGAGCGCGTTGGGCTTTGGGAAACGGACAACAAGCCTGTTTCTGGCTGGACAATTGGATGAATGGGCCGAGCCCTTTAATCACTGTGGCGACTGGGCGGATACCGACGGCGCTTCTTCATGCTTCGGTGGCGGAATTCGTTACAGAGTTGGGAGAATGGTGGTGGACGAAATTTGAGGGGCATCTTCAGTCCACTTCACTGCTCTTGATTGCGGCAGTTATGCCGCCGGATTCTTCATCGAGGCCGGACCGACTGGTTTGGGGCTACACGCCGAATGGGGTGTTTTCGACGAAGACGGCATATGAGGCGTTGACGAGGACTTCCACGGATCATACCCGCCCGCTGGGGAGAATCATCTGGCGAGCGCCGGCAGCCCAAAGAGTGCGCCATTTCCTTTGGCTGGCATGTCGAGATCGACTGTTTTACTAACACGGAGAGGGCCCACCGGCATATGACTAGGGACGGGGCCTGCTACTTTTGTGGTCAGCCTGAGACGACCTCCCACGTACTACGTGATTGTGTTAATGCACGGCCCATTTGGGAGGATTTAATTCCGAACTCGGTCCGGCAGGAATTCTTTGTCTCCGAAACCCGTGAGTGGATGTGGGCATTTGGGAACTAACTCTTCGGAAGGGGTGACAAGCTGGGCGACCATTTTTTCTATTACGTGTTGGTGTATTTGGGCTTGGCGGAACTTGGCTATTTTCTCGAATAAGAGCTGACCCCTTGTGGCAATGCTTCACGATATCCGGTGTCGAGTGGACCGATATGTGCGCGCAACGACCTGTGAGAACGTGTTGGGGATTCAGGGCCGAAGTTATGAGGAGATTTTGATTCACTGGTCTCCTCCCCCGGTGAATTGGATTAAAGTAAATACGGATGGCGCATTCTGTTTTGCGACAGGTAGGGGTAGCGCTGGGGGCTTAGCACGAGACTCATCTGGTCGTTGGCTTGGCGGATTTCTTATGAATGTGGGCTTTTGTACTATAACTAGAGCGGAACTGTGGGGCCTCTATTAAGGTCTGCGATTGGCTTGGGACTTGGGGGCGAGGCATGTTTTGGTGGAGGTGGACAACAGTAGTGTCGTCTCCATGGTTTCGGGTAATGAGGATAACCTTGGACTTCATGCAACGATTATACAGGCTATTCGGGAGTTAAGCAGTAAGGAGTGGTGTGTTCGATTGTCCCATATAAATCGAGAAGGGAATTTCGCGGTTGACTCGTTAGCTGCGCTAGCTGCTGATGTTCCGGTTGGTCTCCAAAGGCTTACAGCTCCACTGCAGGGTCTTGGTCACTGGCTGAACTATGATCTCGTAGAAGTGGCTCGTCCACGTCGTGTCTTGACTTAGTGATCGTTAGGCTTCGGCCTCCTTTTTTGTACCAAAA